GATTTACCGTGGTACTGCAACGGTTACAGCAACACCGTCATAACAACTATCCTGGTTACTGGACTTCCACCCCAGTCCGTTCGTGTGTCGAGCAAGGGGCAGCAGTCACAACAGTGATCGCCGCACGTGGTGCGTAAGCCAGCTGACTAAATTTTTGATCTGTTCCGAAATTTCCTCACCCCACCCACACACCTAACATGCCCACCATCCGTACGGTGGCCTGTCGACCGCGTCAGATTCGAGTGACTGACTGCGTTCGGGTGTGTTCCTGCGCGCATATCTTTCCACAGCTGACCATATACTGGACAACAACGCCTGATCCGAGGGAGCGTTGAAAGAATGCTAGTTTGGGAAATATTAGCAGTGCTAACATTAGTGGGCTCTGATGGTTTTCATTTACGAGTTAACTTCTTGTCAACTCTGTCTGTCGAGTTCGTGGATTGTCAATCATTTTTCGGATAAAGTTGGCTTGAATTGCCCCGCACGCTTGATTCACCTCCTCTACTGTGTTGCATTGTGAGCATAGGCTAACCTTGAAGCGAAGCTTTTATCGACTAGATTGATCTGCGTCGTAGTTGATTGACCCGAGTAATATGCTTAACAAATATGGACGCAATCAATTCGTGATTGAAGTCACCTTGTTCCCGACAGATAAGTCGCCTGCAACCACATCTCCGCCCTATCGTTCTCGAGAGTCCAAAGCCAGTCGAATCAAAATCCTAAAGTTGGGCATCGACCAATGCTTGACAGGGGGCCGATCTAGCCTGTTGATCTAAGCACCTTTCCAGTTTCCACAGGCAAAATTACTCTGCTGTGGCGTGACCGTTCAGCTGTAGCACCCTTCCGGTGCCTAGCTACCATACTGCCCGAAGGTTGCATGAGGGCTGGGATACTGTCAGGTTGCCCAAGCCTAGACAGGGGAAGTCGAGAGGCTGGGGTCGGGTTCGAACCACGGACCTTTCGGTCAGTAAATTCGCGCTCCAACCACTTGGACCATCTCGCCCCGTTGTGGCGTGAAACAAATCTCTGTTCTCAATGATGAGATGTGTGTAATAGATCGTATTTGGCGAAACTGGATGCATTTCTCAGTCGAAGAACATACTGTACGTTTGTATTTGCACAGCTGGAGTACCGGTTTTGCTAGATCTCGAGGTGCATTGGCGGTCTTGTTGGAAGGTGTCACGTGTCACAACTATACAACCGTACAATACCTGATACGACCCTGTTATATCTTATATATTCGCTTCAGATTTTTCAGGTTCGCGTGTTGCTCTCAGCTGTCGAGTGCGTTTGGTTCTGTTCCATAGTACTATTCATTACTTCAAGCATTTTCGAGCTAACCTCGTTGATGCAGAGATTTCGTCCTGTAAATGAAGCCAATTTATGCCAACAAGGCGACACAGCTTGTACAAATGCTTCGTCCCTATAGGGAATCATCAACAGTGTGCATCTCACGAAACATCAGAGAGTCTCGAACCCGCAACCGACAGGTACTTTGAACACCTAACCGATTGGCACCGACCTTGGGTAGTCAGATTAGTAGCCAGGAGGTTGTGGATTTGGGACTCTGTAGGATTTCTTGATATGCGTAATGTTGATGGTGTGTATTCAGGATGAAGTGCAGTACTTCTCGACTTCTTAGCGTAGATTGGCCCCATTAACAGGACGAAAAACTCTATTGAAAATGACCAAATCTTGCTTCTGGATAGGCCAGTCAGCACGTGATCACGTGATGTGGTTCCCGTGATTGAACGACGAGTGGCGCTATATCCTGTCTGAGTGCGAGCTAATCACACTGCCGATCAGTCGTTGGTCTCCGAACTATTGTGTTCAGACTGCTAGCCTAGAGGTCGCGGGTTCGGGACTTCTTGAAGTTTCGTGAGATACGCAGTTCTGATGATTTTCAATAAGAATGAAACAGCTGTACAATACTTCTCGGCTTTTCAGCGTTGATTGATTTCACCTACGGGGTGAAATCTCCATTAACTTCATGAATGTTTCTCAAAGAGACATCCCTGACATTTGTTGCGGGTCATACTCGTTGTCTTCGTAAATTTTAGTAACATCGGGTTTCATTCCACGAATCGTTTCCCCTCTTGGCCAGCTAAATTTCCATAGTTCGCGCAATCAAAATCCCACCGCAAAAACAGTTTTAGATGTGAGTTTGAACCACCATTCAACTCCAGTTATTGTTTTTGATTCGATAAATCGTTCTGAGCAGTCGTTTGGCTCTCATTCTTAATGCGACAGGTACATGGGTGAAAACTCGATAAACGAGACAGTGGTTGGTCTGGTTTCGGTGTCTTGTTTTGTGTTCACTTCGATTTTACGGCACAAAGTAGCCCGTTGACCGGTATGTCAACGAACTAATGTGTGACAATTGGTTGCACGTAATACACTACTCATAAGGCTGCTGAAAATTCTTTGACTGTCCACGACCGGCTTCTTAAAAACAGCATAGGCGAGAGATTCCGCCGGGTTCTAGGTGAGTCTCCCGCAAAACCGAATTGGTTCGCAAATGGATGTAGTTCGCTGTGAGAATTGTTCTTTTTTCTCATCGGTTCGGGCCCCCGTCGATCTCTTGATCTAATTTGACTTCTCTACATGCGCGTGTTTATATCCTTTCCTCGTCTCGTGAATGACAGTGAACTGTGTCCGAGATACTTCTACGACCGATCACGCTCTGTAATTCTGAACGGTTTTTCCTTTCTCGCCATTGGTACTGGTTTGTCCAAGCGCTCTCTCTGTGTTTCACACACATACACACGCACGCACACATTCTCTTTTCAGTTCTATCGGATAACTCTGGCCAAAAAATGAACAAAATTTTTTTGTTGGCTTGTGAGCAGACCATGTGAAATTAGGGTGACTCATCGAAAAGTGGGACTGGTGGTGACTCACTTTTGCGTCTAATCCGACACTCGAGTTTCGATTAGTTCCGCTGCCGTTTGGATGTTTTTCTCGTTCGCTAGTGAGCTTGATGATGACTGGACACGTTGTTCCTTTTTCAAGACGCAACCCGATTGATGAGCATTTCTAACCGAGCCGTAGTTTAGATCCACGTTTGGAAATCTTTTCAACTCATGCATAACGGAAGACAGGAAACGAACTTACACTTCTTATTTTGTAAGCTAAGCACTTCAGATTTAGATATGTCGGATTCGCCACTGGGCAACGTTGACTTTGGACAGAAAACAAGTCCCATCAAACGACTGAGTGGATTATCAGATTGGGATTCTTGTAAAAAGCATCGCCAATGAACTTAACGGTAGACCGTATCGATTACCTGGACGTGGTGAACTGTGAGAAAAATCACGTGACCACTCGCCCCCTCGTTCGAGTCGACCTCTTCCCCTGGCTCCAATTTCGGTGCATTTCATTGAAGAATGAACTTGCCTCACCTGGAGCAACTTACCTACAAACCTTCCGTTCTGCTAAGCACACTGTAGTGCCGGCTCACGACAATCGTCAATCCGTCAATCATGTGTGGTTATCGTTGGAGTCACAGTACGCTCAGGTGTTCCAAACACTAAACTCGCGCAAAATGCAAGACTATATTTCCGTCAGCATCGAAGGACGAAACCTACTCAGGTCATTTTATCCATCGAAACTGGCCTTGCTGAACACAATTTGTATGGATGCACCGTGAAAGATGCGTTCTGCCGATCTCATTTGTTGCATTTTATCCGACGAAAATGTGTCCGATGGAAACAGAACAACTATTAATTTCATTAGTTTAGTCATTTGCAGGCGCCGGGTGTCACACTACCACCACACTACAGCGTGCACTCTTTTGCATGGTTACGTGGTGTGGCCTTGGCATCCAGTTTAGGCACTCGTTCATCTGTGGCACCCTTTCGGTGCTTGGCTGCTATGCCACCCGAAGGAGGCGTGGGAGCCCAGACACTGCAGGTCGCCCTTTCGGTGCTTGGCTGCTATGCCACCCGAAGGAGGCGTGGGAGCCCAGACACTGCCAGGTCGCCCAAGCCTAGACAGGAGCAGTCGAGATGCGGTTAGGTTAGGTTCGAACTACAGACCTTCCGGTTGGTGATTTCTTGCTTTGATCACTGAACCATCTTGAGCTCCATCCCCCAACTGACTGAGATCATCTCCCCATATAACGGTCATCCTTGGGGGGTCTTCAAGTGGACAGAGCATCTTTAGTTAATTCTGTTTGTTCTTTTATCCTCAGTGGTTCAGATACTTGTTTTACAATAATGGGCTTTTCATATAGAATGCAGCCGCACGCAATGGATAATGCCACACGCCTTTTTTAACGCTGATCCGCTCGTGCAACCTACGCGACGAAATAGAACGCTACCTTTGATGTTGTGGCATTTTTATTCCTGCATGCAATTGCAAAGCAAGTTAGACTTCGCTGAAACGGGCATGGGGACGTGTCAGTCAGGCAGTGTTATTGACGCACTCAGCAAAAGTGAGCCCAACTGGTTTATACTAATGTTTTCCTTCTGAGACGAAATAACCATCAAAATCTGCCGGCGAAACATTACCATGACATGGTCTTACAATTTTTTCGCGCCTATTTTCCACTTTTTGGTGTATTTGGAGCGACATTCCCAGGTTTTTCGGTTTTCGGAAGTCATTCGTTTTTATTCATTGAAAGTGGAATTACAGTGGCCTTCTTACACTGTTGTTGTTGTTTCTCGGTGCGTACGACTGATAGGTGGGATGTCAACCTTGATCACGACAATCAGACAGATCAATACTGCGCATCGCAAATTTTTTTGTCAGATCGGTTACAGGGGATTTGAACGACTTTCGGACTTGCACAGTCCGTTTTCTTCCTTCCGCTTGTCAGACACCGACTGGTCTAGAGTGAAGAATAAAGTGCTAAGGTACAGGTAATTGGAGAAAGGAAAATATTTGCTTCTCCATTGGACTTTCAAATTTTGGGGTTTTCGTAAATTCCCATCTGCTCCCGTCTACGTCTCTACCTCTGCATAAAGTCATGGCAACTTTTTGTGGTGGTTTTTTGTCAGGTTGGTGAGGATGAGGCACGCAGAAGAGCGAAGCGCCGGGAACGAAACCGGGTTGCCGCTGCTCGTTGTCGCCAAAGACGTCAGGACCAGATCGTCGAATTGCAACACCGGGTTGGCGTACTTACTAAAACAGGCGAGGAGCTCCGTACTTCTCTGCAAACACTGGAACATGAACGCACACGATTGGAAGGCCTTATTCGTCAGCATGGGGTGAGTTTTCTTTCACGGTGTATGGGGCTCAAAAAACCCTTCTAAACTGCCGTTTCCAGCCGTTCCGAGGCGTTGCCACTGTCATTAGTTTTTTCAAAGTACTCTCGCTACTCATGAGTAGGTTGTCGAAAGTTTGTATTTTTCAACCCGGGCAACTGACGAAGCAGGCTGCATTCGATCCACGATGAATTGGGGATCGCCGCTCCAGACAAGCACTGGGTAAGTCTGGGTTTCGAAAAGCAGAAAAAAACCCCACAAAGGTGAACAGTTTTCTGGTACAGAAACGGACAGGCGGTTTTGTGCGACTAGTTTCTGACTGAATACCGGACATACCTGGGGTGCGTCCATCAGGAGAGAACAGATAACGAATCCATCCAACAAGGGTGGGTGCTCGGGTCGTTTTCTAGTCTTCCCTCCATAGCCTTGACAACGTGGAGGGTGAGGCCGTGATAGACGTGGTGCGCTACCACGATTTCCGGCTAGTTGCAAGCTGTTGTGAAGACAAAAAATGAACAGTCCCACATGGTATTATCTGCAAAGCAATTCAACAAAAGCAAGGATGGGAAGCAATGCTGGGCCTTGAAGTGCGCCCTTATTGGCGTTCACGGGGTTAGAGAGCTCGCCGTCGGTACGTTGGTCGTCTGCCAGCGAGGCCGCCTATCCAGAGTTCCGATCGCAGGTGAGAGAATGGCTACGTTTTCGTTGTGCCAGGCACGATTAAGGTCATTGTTATGTTCAGCGGAGCAACTTCCAGTTCATCAAACGAGCACAAAGTAGAGGGTTCGCCCATCAAACAGGTCCTCGGTCGATCTGTTCTCCTCGAAATACATACTGGTCGGTCAGTGAGGTGCTTACAGCGTTGAAGGTTTAGCGCTGTGTTACTTTTGATAAAATTGGGACTAAGAACTTAGTACGCCAATCTTTCGATTGCGAACTAGAGGAAATTGAGACTTTCTTCATTAGTAGGGAAACAAACACGTGGCGAAGGGACAGCCCAAAAGTCTGGTGTCATCCCAGTTGGCGAACTAGCGATTCCCGAATAGCCCGCGTGAGTTGAACATCGATGAACAGGAACCGATAGAATGGAAACGCAATGAAACCCACTGGTCTGAAGAACCATGAGGAGCATACTGGAACAATGGTCAAGGGGGTTGGACCCAGCCGCGATAGATCAGTGAGGCTGGAATAGGCTTGTGATCGAAGACACCTGAGAAACATTAAATTTTCTGCGGTGAAGTCTAAACTAAACATGGATGAGATTGACTCGGAAATTCAATCCAATAGGCATATATATGGTTGAAAGTTTTGATGGAGCAGTGAAGGCAGCCAAAATATCTTTCATTTCTCACAGCACACATGGCTTAGTCGACCAAGTTTACTATTAGAAGTTGATCGAACAGGTTTATATAGTAGCGTAGCAATCAGTTCAGTACGGTTTGACGACGGTGTACATGTTTACGGTGGCACATGTCATCACAACTTTTGGTTACGGATAGTTGGTACAGAAAAGAACAGCAGTTTGATTTTTAATAACAAGAGAATATTTATCACACCGCCTCTATTAGCTTGAGATCGCCATGTTGGTGAGTACCTCCAGTTATTGTCCTGGTTAATCTTCGATACTCCAGCCTAGCGGACAACATGCATCAGTATAGCCGAGAGCTTTTGTCATGTCTTTGATGCCCTTTCCTTCTAGGTCATGCGTTGTTCACCTTGAGAAACGTCCCAGCTGGAACGTGCCTCAGAAAACGGAGGCACGATGAGGCGGTTGATCAAGTGGCACATTGTCAAGCCGGAGAAGCTGGTGCAGCCTCGTCAACTCACTAACTGAACGAGCAAAAATCACCCATCACTTAACACTGCTACACCGAAAACCCTGCTTTTCGGCGATATGCTAGTGTCACGTCGACCCCAGAAGAACCCAAGTTGGAGGAAAGCAAAAAAGGGTTTATGGATCTTAGCATGCACTTCGCTGGCCGTGCGCCCATCCGATGTGATAGGTAAATATGTTCACTAGTAGCTCTGGTGCCATGACGAGCTGTGGTGATCTACTCACAACGTCGAAAGCGCAAAGCGCACATAAAAACACATGACAGCACTAAAGTTATTTATTGTTTGTATGTGGATGGAAGAGCTCGAGATAGCTGATTGGTTAAGGCCCGTGATCCGAACCCAACCCCGGCATCTGGACTGCTCCTATCTAGGTTTGGGCAACCTGGCAGTATCTCAACCTTTTTGCTTTCTACGGGTGGTATGGTAGTATGTATCAAAAGGGGGTTTCAGCTGAACGACTATTCGGCGGCATACATCGTCACACAGCCGACCGAGTCAAATGCTGCATTTAGATATAAGAAGACAAAATGGTTGGTTAATATATTTGTGGTCTTGTCTGAGAAATTGTCCTAAGGTAAAGGTGTGGTCGATGCATGCACGACCCATATGGAACCCTGCTTGATCGAAATGCTAGCTGGATACCTGTGGGAAAATCAGGAGCGGTGGTAATTGCATTGATACTCCTACGGTTCTCACATTCAGATTTAACGCCTTTGAAAAACCAGAATCATATTAGGTTGCGCACCTGGTACTTTAATCGTCTCCCGAATGCTTTGAATAAGGTTTGTGAACCTATGAACAAGGCCTACCCATCCATTCCAGGGGAAGACAGTCAGGGCTTCAAAAGTTTAACCTCATCTTCTGTTCGTCTTAAGTGCTTCAAGCCAGCTAAACTCCTATCCGGAGTGTTCCACCCATCAAAGCAGATGCGTGGTTTGGAATACACTTTTGGGGCGTCTACATCTGTAAGGAATTCACTGGCTTCACCGATCTTCTCGGTCCGATGTTGCGGATAAGTTGGACTTCTCTTGACAACCACCTCTCCTAGTCGGTCTTGAGACTGCAGGTCAGGCGTCGTTTCAGAGATATCTTTGAATCATATTGCTGTCTCGGTAAGACCGCCTCTCTTTCCTCAATCGCGGACATTGATCCAACCTCATTTAGGCCGTGGCCTTATTTTGGGACGCATACAGTCTAATTCATGGCGTTTCGAACCAGTCTTCATTTGACCGCGTTCCTGAGTTGTCTAGACAACTGCCGCGGATAGACTACTTTGTTGGCCGAATCTTGCAGGCAGCGAATACCACAGTGTCAGTCGATGGGAGACGAACTGCAACATGGACACGCAAACTAGTGCATGATCTGACTCCAAAAGCGCGACTGTTTGGAAGACAAAATCACCATCCATAGCTAATTACTATGTGGCCGATATGAGTGATCGATTGGTTTGTACTGGGTCAACTAATGCGATATTCACGTTTGTGTTAAGCACAAATGGATGATGGTCAGCGTTTAGCTATAGAAATCTATAACCGTTGTCGGTCCTCGAACCAAATCTTCCATCGAGCTAGTTCTTGTTTATCTCGATTCTTCCCAACTGGGAATTCAAATATCCAGCCAGAATGAGGCTTTCGGGAATCCTCCACCAGACACATCTTTCATGGTCTCATTGTTGCACTTTGCCGGGATGTATGCAGAGAAAACGAGCGGGTTCGTTGGCAAGTTTGACCAGTTGGCTATTTGGGGGTTCCATTTGAGCGGTGTCTTTAGCTCTCGCGTTCAACGTTGAGGCCATGGGGAGTCTCTTCTGGATCGCCTGATACCCCAAGGCGTGAACAAACTGAACTGCATTGTACCGTGTTCAGGCGAATAAGCGTAGTGGAGTTTTGCATGCATGTTTCGGTGGTACAGTACACAGATTGTTAAAGAAGAAAAAGAGCGGTCGGGGGGGGGATGTTGGTAGTTCTGCTTCCCGTGTTCACTGAGTTGGACAATCTGGTTGCAAGCGTTTTGTCATCAACCGGTGTGACATACTTGGAGCGCAGTATGTTGGCGGTGCGCCGGTGTGTAGGCGTTGAACAGTGCCATGCTTGTACAGTATATAACTTGTTGACGCCGGTGGGGTATGGCCCTGATTATGAACGGTCTTTTGGGTGGTTGATCCCGCTTGTTAGATAGTGGGCCATCTGCCTGGTTGATCCGCCACCCCTCCCACTTAGTCCACGTGGCTTTCGACCTGTCTATCCCATTCCTGTCACCGGATCTGTCGTTTGCTTTGTCCGATTAGGTTGATGATCCTTTGTGTGTAGCGATTTCTAAATATCGGTAGATTGAGTTTGTGATGGAGTACCATTGTTCTAAAAAAACTCCCTTTCGTGTCTTGTGTTTCCGCGTGTCAACATCTCTGTGTTGGCCATCTGAAATTGGTTGATATTCATCCATTGGAACCAGGGAGAGTAGATCGTACCCACAGTCTATTTTCTCATTCTACTTCTTCAGTTTTGGAATAAACTTTTCCAATGTGTCCATTGGTTTTTGCGGGTTTTACTAACCGTGCTATGAGTCCAACTAGGTTTCTGATGTATGCGGCAGGGCAATGCGTCTGCTCATTGTTCCCATTTTCTTCATGCTTCTTCTGGTGAAATTTCGCGGGTGATTTTCTTCCATTCTCTCCAATTCCACTTTATTGCGGTGTGTCTACGCTCTCCGAAACAGAGTTTGAGTTTTAGTGCACCGTCTGGGCTTTGTGTGTTCTCTTCCGGTAAATACACCCATCCGTAGTCCTGCTAACCATTGCATTCAAGAGTGGCTGTTGGTCGTTCTTGTCCAAGCTGACTAGTGGTTCTGATGTCTTCGAATGTAACTGTAGCCCGTTTCATAATGAGAAGGATGTCATCGCGCATCTACAGCAGGTGTCGTCTGAACAGCACCAGACCACGGGAACTATTTCCACCGTATTGAATAGTTTGTTAGCGCCGAGATGGCCCAAGTGGTTACTGACCTAAAGGTCCGTGCTTCGAACACGATCTCTGCCTCTCGACTTCCCCTGTCTAGGCTTGGGCAACCTGGCAGTATCCCAATCCTCGTGCAACCTTCGGGTGGCATGGCGGTTAGGCACAGAAAGGGTGTTACAGCTGAACGATTTCTTTTTCAGTGCCGTTTTTATG